CCTACACCATATGTCCCTCTGCCAGAAATCACTCTGATGTTAAAAGGTCCCCCTCTGGGGGGAGGCAAGCCTTCCACTCCATGCCAACCAAGAAAGAAAAAAGAAACCAAAAGATTTAACAGCTAAAGAGTAGCCAGCCGATAATTAGTAACAGAATTAACAATCAAATCAAATAAATGATCAAATAAAATAAAGAAACTGTAACATAATAAACACAATAAGATCCAGATTAATCGAGAGACTATGAGCACATGGACCAATTCGCCGAAGACGAAAATGTGCGGAACGGACACTGACAACACCTGGGTCTCCATGATGAGCGCCAGGTGTAACTCATATAGAATTATGCAAAAGGGAAACAATTTAGGGAAAGCTAAACAGAATAAAAATAAAAAAGAGCATAGGCAAAACATCTCCCCATCACCCCTCCCTCCCCATTGCACTTAGATAACAGGGACTTTCCTCACAATGGAGCAAGCCACCAGCAGTGTTGTCTCCGTGTCCTTCGCAACCACAGCTCCCCTCAGTTCCAGCGCATTACCTGGAAGTTCCACGGTGGTCAATGTTTGAAATCAACAGAAATCACCACAAGAGTCATCACATTCCCTAGCTGCAATCCAAGCCTCCGTGGCTCAAGCTGTATCTTAGTACAATGGGAATACTCCCATACTCAGGAGCAGGGGGACCATCCGCCATTCCTCAAGACCACAGCCAGCCAGCTGCAAAACATTAAGTCTGTTCAAGGACTTCTATCTTTGGCAGGCAAAGCCCAGGCAAGCGGGAGGGGTCAGGGAGGAAGTGAAAAACCCAGAAGCATAACACAAAACACAAAAGAAAGGGGGGGGGAAAGAGAAACACAAGAGAGGCTCAAAACAAAAACTAACTTAAAATTCAGTATAACTACAACTGAAGTACAATAAAGGTAAATCAAATACAAAAGAATAGAGGTAAAAATTAGAAAGAATGAGAAGCAAAAAGAGGGAAAGAAAAAAGGAGCCAACTTGGCAGAGGAGAGCAACAGATATGTCCTACTTCCGGGTCGCCATCTTGGAACATGAACTTCTCTGTTACTGCTTCCAGATTTTGGAACTCCCTCCCACAGGAGGCCAGACTGGCCCCAACTTTGCTGTCCTTCTGCAAGCAGGCAAAGATCTTTCTCTTCAGGCAAGCTTTCACTTAGTGGCTGTCTCCCTGAGTAGGATTTTTATTGTTATGCCTTACTGCTTTGAATAGGTTTTAGTACTGTTTTTCTTTACCATTTATCAGAGTGGTATTTGTTTGTTTTTAATATTTGTATACTTACTGTTTTTAGCTTTAAATGTTATCTTTTAATGATGTAAGCCACCTTGGGTCTTTTTTGAGAAGAAAGTCAGGGTCAAAATTAAATTAAATTAAAACAAACAAGTTTTGGGCTTGCATTGTGCTGAAATATTCTTTCCATAGCTCTTGACATCTGTTGTCATTGAAAAGAGTTCTCTGACTAATCGGTTCTCACTGATAAGTCAGACTAATCCCCAATGGTTGTAGTTTTAGCCATTGCTTCGGTGAGAACTTTACTCTTAGCTTGAGTGCAAAATATGCACCACACACTGTCCTTCAGTTACTTTTTGCAGGGGGAAAAGTGTTGCACAAGCCTTTGGCACATAATATTTTGTTCATACAGTTGGAGATCATGTGTAGGTTTGCAGTTGCTTCCCCTTCTGTGGCATTTCCATTTTGACAGCCACTGAGATGGTAAAGTATTAGAGTGCTAGTTTTCTATGGAATTGTTTTAATTACAACTGTCTTGCCCTGACATAGCAGCTTCTGTCTCCAGATTTTAAACACCCTCTGCTGCTTTGTGTGTGTGTGTGTGTGTGTTTGTGTGTGTTGTGTGTGTGTGTGTGTGTGTGTGAGTGTGAGTGTGAGTGTGTGTGTGTGTGTTTTCTTAATATTTTTCTTGTTTCTTCCAAATAAATTGTCTTTTAAGTTGTTTATTCTTATTTTTTGCCTGGGGTGAATTTAAAAGCTCAGCATGCCAGAACATTTTGTATGTTACTTGAGTATATTTCTGAGGAGGGAACTGTAAGACTGAACAGTTTTCTTGACTAAATAAGGATACAGTCCTTTGAACTGTACAGAAATCAGACAGAATTCTGCTGTTTTCAAGAGCCAAGATTTACAGATATTATCATACACTGTCATTACCACACAGTTCATTTATTCTTGACAGATATATCTTAGTATGACAATGTTTGTTGCTACTCTAGGACATGCATGAAAAGGGCACAAATTCATTGACACCCAGTGCGGTTCTTGTATGAAATCATAAAATAAAGGTTGATAGTACCTTTATTAAACCACTGAAGTCTAAAAAACCTCAAAAAAAAAGTCTATGCACAGGATGTATTTTAGATCCAACAGGTGCCTTCAGTATTCAACTTGATGAGGAAATGTGCTAGATTTAAAAGTTAATCTATGCATGTTTTTGAGTTATTAAAAATCTAATTGAAGTACTGCCCAATTTTGCTGTTTGTTTCCAGGTTCCGTTCAAGGTCCTCGCTCTTTCTTTTAAATCCTAAATAACTTGGGATGTCAGTACCTTAAATTTTGTCACCTTCCCTGTGTTAGCTCTTAATCAAACATGAGCTTTCTTGCAAAGACAGAATGAAGTAAAGAAATCAGCTTTCTTCACAGCATGCATATACATCAGTGGTTCCTGAACTTTTTCAAGTCACAACCTCCTTTTATAATAGCCAAGTAACCTGCAAGGCCTCCATCACATTTGTATAAAAATACCTTTGTCGTTGTTCCCCAACATGGCAGCAGCATCAATGCTGCTG